CGTGACCACCAAAAAATCATGACTGAGTCTTACCGTACTAGGCCACGTGCCGACTTCCACGGGTACTGTGACCTTTCCCAGGGGTCTGACCTCTTCTCCGCTGAAGCCGACCAGCGGGGTGTTCGCGAGCTTCAAATCAGTCTCTCAGAACTGGAGTTTGTCGAAGGCCGCTTTAAAAAGGATGTCTGTCGAACTACCGGAGTCAACGAGTAAACGCCAGACTTCGAAGTCGTTGATCTTCACCTTTATGACGAGTGCGTCGTCGTGGGGGTAGTGGACCCCGCGCACATCGTCTTCGGTGTTGCCGAGGTGCACCCGGGTGCATCCTGCTACGATCGATCCCGGGTTGATGCCCTATGGAGGATTTTGTTCTTCTATGGTGGCTTCCCGGGTTGATGCCCGAGCTGCTGCCGAGGTGCATCCTGCTACGATCGATCCTCCAACGATCACGTGGATCGTTCCCCGAACTGGTCTTTCCTCCCGGGGCTGCTTCTGCAGTTCGGCTGGCCAGTTGCTGGACTCGGGAGCATCTCTGTTGTGCTCTCCCTGCCAACCTGTCTTATTACTATTATTGTTATTATTATTATGCTAGACTCGTCGTGGAGATTATTACAATGTTCGGTGCTATGACCGTGGTCTCTATGGAAACCACAGTACAAGTTTTTATTCCTCTCGTTCGGGTTTCTCTTCAGACGAGGTGGCCATTTCACGTACGAGGCGTCTTTGATCGTCATTAAGATCTCGGCCCGCTTCGCGTTTAAGGGCGTGTAGTTCGTCTGACCTGCTAAGGGAGATTGGAACAGTAGGCTTGGCTTCGTCTCCCGAGCTGGGTCTTTCTTCCTCCTGTCATCTGGGTTGGAGGGTTTGCCTTCCCTCTTCCTTTTTTCGATCCCGCTTTCAGTCCTTTGGTTGATCTCCTCCTCTGTTCTTATGAATTTGTCTGCGAGCTTGAGGAATTCAGCTACGATCGCGGGCTGGTTGACTACCATGTGCCACCTGAACTCCTTGTGTGTCACACCCCTCTTGGCTGTCGCGAGCTGTACCATGGGGTCTAGGCGCGGTATCTACAAGCACCCGTCATTGAACCGTTTGACATAGCCCCAACTCTCCTTCCCTCTGGACTATTTCGAGGAGGCTCTCCTCGGTTCGGGGGCACCGCTTGCTAGTAACGAAGTGTGCGGTGAAGATTTGCACGAACTGGGTCCAGCTTCTTATCGACCCGGGGGCCAGGTTCCTGTACCAGGTGCGGGCCACTCCCCTGAAGGTGGTAGTGAAGGCCACACACATGCAGGACTCGTTGGCCCTCGCCAGGTGCATTTGGGACTGGAAAGCATCGACATGGTCATTGGGGTCAAAGGACCCATCATACTTGTCTAGAGGAGGGAGTTTGAAATCTTTGGGCATGGGAACTGCAAGGAGTTCTGAGGATAGGGGGGAAGGGACTGAAAGAATAGGGGCAACTTTTACCTCGTCCGAGCTTGTTCCTTCTTTACCTCGGAGCTCGAGTAGGATGCGGGTGGTAGTTCGGCGACTTCGCTGCTGATTAGAAGGCCTGGTATTGGCGCTACTTGCCTCGATGTTGCCGAGATTGATCGGCCCGGACTGTTGGTAGTCCGCAGCCAGGACGCCGAACTGGTTCTCTACGAGCGAGAGCTCGAACTTAGAGTGCCGATGTGCTGACTTGATCGGCAAGGAGGTTCCTGACCCGCCGGCGAGCTGCGAGACGGGGGTAATTGGTCTTTCCCTCCTGCCCGGAGATGATGCCTGGCTCCTGGAGGGGTTCTGAAATTGGAAGGCTTCCCCTCGGTGAAGGTGCCCGCCCTGAGGGGAGGGCTTGACCAGCTTCGGAGCAGGGTGCCGAGGTGGGAGCTGTGGTTGGTTCAGAGGTAGTTGGGAGAACTGCTATTGATAGTGACACTGAGAAATGTAGTGCAGTACTTGCTGCTGATGGAGCTGATGTTGCTGGAACTGCTGCATTTGGGCTTGCATTGCCTGCATGCACTATATCAAGTCATCAAGCTGGTTCTGGCTGGTCGCCAGAGGGACAGCGGTTGGTTCGGCGAA